GAGAGAGAGAGAGAGAGAGAGAGAGAGAGAGAGAGAGAGAGAGAGAGCCTTTTAACCGCGATTGGGGTCGCGGCAGATTTCCCAACGGACCCCGCGGTCTCGCGTTCGAAAAAAAGAAAGAGAGAGAGAGAGAAAAAAAAAGCGATCACTCGCGGGGGACGATGCTCCTTCGCGTGTCACTGTAAACTGCTGGAAACGGCACGTCGCACTCCCCCGAAACACTCACTGAACGGATCCGATCGCGCGGGCTTCCGCGCTCCGATCTCCTTTGTGCCGTCCGTCCGATCGATCTGCACGGGAGCGTCCAAGTCGCGCGTTATCTCTCAGTTATCTGTCAGCGGAGCGAACGCGAGCGAGGGACACTCCGCGCCGGGGATAGCGGCTCTACTGATTCGAGTTTCGAGTGACTGGCGACTCACTTCGCTAGTTCGCTCCCGAGTGCTCCGACACTCCGACCGACTCCCATCCCGTTGCCGAACGAGACGTGTATGTCGCGTACGGACGGCGCGCGACGCGCGACTGTGTGGGTGAGCGCGCCGCGCGGCCGCCGAGCCGAGTCGAGCCGAGCGCCAATCACGTTCGGGTCTCTCCGGCGCGACAAGGACGGCCCGCGATAACTGCCGAGCGCGCGAGAGGGACGGAAAAGCGAACGCGCAATGGTGCCGAGAGACTCGAGGGAGAGATGTTAATGCTAGGAACTACCGAGGCGGTCGAGATGATAATCTCTTTTGAAAAATTACTTGAATTTGTAGCGATGTGTTTTCCGAGATCTTCTGCGAATCTCGCTCTACATAAAGACATAAATGATTGAATCGATCAATTTACTTCCCTCCTTCGTCCTTCCCTTTTTTCATGTATCTGCGTTACTTATAAAGATGAAGAATCCGTATCTCCAGTTTTTGTCAAAATGGAGCATATTTTACTGATGTACTTAAATGGTAGAAATTAATCGTCAATTGTGTTAAAAGAAATGACTGAAAATTGAATGTCGCATAAAATAAAGAAGAAAATTTTGTAATTCAAATTTTATAACTTCGGATTTTTTAGTGAATTTTAGGTTGGCTTCTCGCTCTCGAAATGATATAAAGATCTAATTTTGCAATTGAAAGATCTCTAAAGATTGTTTTTCTCCGCGTAAAAGATTCAATCGTGTTTTCTCTGACAAAGGATATAAATGTGTTAATCTCGGGAAGATATCGCTGTTCGAAATATTTTTATTGTCTAACTACTCGAGATCGTCACGTGTGCATGTACGTCGGGATATCTTTTACTGTTTTCGAAAAATTGAAATTTTGTCGATCTCGACACCACTGAGGCTCTACGAACGAAAGGGGACGATCGACGATCGTGGGAGGGAAAGGGAACGAAAGGTGAATAAGTACAAAGAACGACGGAACGAAAGACGGAATGGGAGGCGCGTTTTTAACTAACGAACGGGCCCCGTCCACGAATCCCTCCAGATATTCATCTCGTCGAACGCCTTTGTGGTCGGCATTCCCCGTATTAGGGATACAGAGTAGCGTAGAATCGATGTTGCACGAGATGAGTCTGAAGCACCGTCGATTTGTCTCCTTTCTCGCGCTTGAAGCGTAGCGATTAAAAAGAAATAGCTTAGTAAGCTTGATTAAATCGGCCTGGTGACTTTGTCACGTCATCTTCTTTTGCTTGAAGTTTTGTTCGTCAAAATAACGCTTGTCCATCATATTTTTTTAAATTTCATTAATATTTTTTGGTTAAAATTTAGTTAATATTATTCGAGATTTCTTTAAATTATTTATAAAACATTGAAATATATTATTGGAGTATTATATTATCGAATATTATTCAAGAAATATATTTCGAAATATATAAATAGATTTCTCGAATATAATATTCGACAATATAATACTCGAATAATATATTTCAATATTTTTAACGAGAAAAACTTCATTTCAAATCAGTTAAAAGCTATGTGATAAAAAAGGCAGTAATTTTTTCGTACGTGCTCTTTAAAAATGTGTTCTATTCCAGTTTGATTTTTTTTTATTTGTCTAATCTCTCTAGGGAAAATAATTTTTATACCAATCGAGAAATGAGGAATAAATGTGTCCATTGGCTTTATTTAAAGATCAATCACCTTTTTCTTTAATCGATAAATCAAATAATATATTTAAAATGCGCATTTATATAATATATAAACCAACATGGAAGGAAGGGAGGTTGTACAATGCAGTTAGGCGGGCATTTGGCTCGCTGTAAGCGAGATTATAGCGAGACTGTAGCACGCAAACACATATGTTTGTACAAAAATTATAACTAATTAATATACTGTGTGTGTATATGTATATGTTTCTGTGTCTGTCTATACACCATGTAGAAAGCAATGTGCTCAAGAAACTGCCGATTAACTGCCTAGCCTACCTGAAAGCACAAATTCTGAATTCATATTACCTATAATGTTTGAAATTGGAAAGCAAATTAAAAACCAAGAAATTATTCCTTCTTCTCATTTCTATTACATATTACGCGAAGATGAGTCTCCAATCTACGTGAAACGAATTTATTTAAAGAGATAAAAATCACTATTTTAATCCATGGAAGAACTGTATTTTATGCGCTGCTTTTTATCAACTCACCCGCCCGAGTGCTTCAACTTTTTGCAATCTTTCGCGTTAATAAAAGTGTGTAAAATAATTTTTACTCGTCCGTTTTTCTATCCTTCTCTTGTCCCCCCCCCCTCTCCCCTTTTCTCTGCGTATGTTTCTTTATGCAAGTACCCGTGAAGAAATTTTTCGTAATAATATATAATGATATAAAGTATGTCCATAAGTTTTCTTTCTCTTGTATGATCTTTATTCGTACATATATAAGAAAAATAACACTTAAAAAATAATTGAAAAAATAACTTTTACATTGTTTTTTTATGATAAGTAAAATTGCAATTAAATTATACAATATTTTATATATAATCATATCTTATATGCGATTGTTACATTTATACATGATTATATATGGACAATACTTTCTAATTTCCTCAAACTTCATTTTTTGTAAAAAAAAAAAAACAATGCGAAAATTATCCTTTCAATTATTTTTTAACTCTACTTATTATTCTCTGTGTATATATGAACAGAGATACAAGAGAAAGAAAACATGTATGGATGTATTTTATACAAAATTATACATGAAAAATTTGTCCCCGGATATAAAAAAGTAATTTATATCGCTAGTAAGAAACGTCATAAACTATATTGTACACTGTCCTATAGTTAGAACGCAATTAATTAGAAAATAAATTCATGTAATAAATTACAAATAACTCGTTATAATATTTGATAATGTCGTTGTGATATTTTGTTAGATCTTCTCTTATAACATACATAACATTTGAAACGAGCATACTTTTATATATTTAAATGAACTGTTGAACATTAACAAGACGGTGGAAACAATGTTATGTGAATATTGAGATGGCTAATCAGAGTAGATAATATTTATTACCATATAAATCGATGTTGCTTCTCAAGCAGCAGATCATTAAAAGACGTAGTAATGTTTATTTTAATTTACTAAACGTCTCTAAGTCGTCTTTTAACGTCACTCTACTGCTTGGACTGCTAACAGTATTATAAAAAAATCGAGTAAAACAACGTATGCTCGTCTTTCCAAAATTTAATTTACACATCTTTTAACACGACCAATTGCTACCTCTACTATTAAGATATGCAATGATATAATTCTTTTATTGATTTATAACACTTCTAACATAAATAAATTTTAAATAACTCAGATGTTTATCGGTATAAAACAAAATGTAAACGGGACGTGGTAATTTGATTGCGAAAAACAATTAATATGTAAGTGCAATGACGATTGAAATAAATCACAATATTATAGTCTTTACGGCGCAAAATCAGATATGATTTGATCGAATAATTGCGCATTGCTATATTACATAAATATCAAATTGCAATACAAATCTACAATCTGTTGTAATAACTTATTAGAGTTATTAGCGCCAAATCGCATGTCGATTATGTGACTGCGATTTCCCTATAAACGGTAGTTCACACATCTTTCTCTTTCAAAGACGTATTGTGGAGAATATGCCCTTATAAACTTGCTTGCTAATGGTGTATATACATACATGTATGTACAGGATGTCCTCAAAACAGATTTTTAATGATAGATTCTTTGACCAATGTAATCAATCAATTTTTCCTTAGGAATAATATATCAAATTGCACATTTACAATTAGAACCATCAATAATTTCCAACTTATAAGCGATTAAGAAGCAAAGATTTATTGCAAATTGAATCTCAAAAAGGCAAGTGGAAATAAACTACATTCTTTATATCATGTCAAATGGAGCTTAATTTTAATTTATGGCTTAGTTAGAAAGATATATTATCGAAGGATAAAAGTAGAAAGAGAAGGATAAGTAGTGACTTCCCATTCTTATTAGGAAAAAATTACAAATTGGCCAAAGGATGTCATTAAAAGGATAGTTGAATATCCTGTATGTGTATGTGTATGTGTGTATATATACAATATATATGAAAGATATATATATATATGATATATATGTACACACACATATATATACTATATAGAATTATAATACATCTACAGTAATTAACAAGACAAATCTCTAATTCTGCACTGGGCAGTCTTCTTCATTTTTCATTAATTAATTCTAAGTATAATGATATACCTCAAAACTTTATATACGTTTTACCAGGTGTTCTTTCCTTATCTGCAGAGCGCGATTGGATTTGGTTATAAACAACAACTCTCATTAGAACTAAAAATAGAATGTGTCACGCAAGAATGGTGTTATAATAATTATTTATTTTATAAATCATGCGTTTTGCATTTTCAGTCATTAAAACTGGTACGTAAAGTGATCTCTCATTGGGAAAATGGGCATATAGGTCACTTTTGTGTGTAGCAAATATTAATAATACGTAACACGTATTAATACATTTGTATAAGTATTCAATTATTAATATAAATTTGTTCGTACAAAAAACATTTTTTTTCCAGCTTGAAATATCAAGAATGTTATGTAAGATTTTTACCATGTTGTTTCTCGAGGGATTCTCAATTTAAATCTCTGCCATTTGCATCAGTTATTGCAAAGATAGATAAAAAATGTTTTCGACATATCAACTTACAATACTATAAGTATATGTCGTATATAGCACCTTATAAAAAGTTTCTTGCAAAATATTACGTCCAGATCGCAAAACGTACCAGTGACACGCATTTTCGGAAGACCGTCTTTCGAGCGTCTGTCTCAAAAGTGTCCCCGCAGCTACCACTTTGATTTAATACATATGAATACCTTCCAACTGCTTCGCCATATCCAGATGTGCCACACAGTAATGGTAAGCTATGTACGTTTCTATATTCATTAGTACAGATAATAAATACAAAATGTTAATTGGCATACATTACTTATATCTCTGTACTAAACCATATTGCCTTGAAATTCTAAATACGATCAATAGCATCCCTCATAGACCTCTCTGTTAAAAGAGGAAGCACTATCAGTGTCTCCTAAAAAAAAAAAAAAATCATGTAAGATTCTATAAATTCATATCGGGATGCAACCAAGTGCAACCTGTTGATTATTTTTCACCATTGTAACAATCTCCCTACGAATATGTCTCTAACGTTCGGAGCTGCTTTATTTGGGCGATGGAACACATGATTATCTTTCTTTGCACCTTGCTTTCATAGTCAACTATGAGTAGAAAATTTTCGATTTCTATCGTATTATCGATTTAACAAAGGACGGAAATGGAAAAATATCAATTGGAATGTACGTATGTTAACGAAAACCAGATTTTTTTAGAGAAGAGGGGTCGGGTTTGATTAGTTACAAAGTTACAGATATAAAATGGCTTTATACAGAAGACACATGTGTTCTTTTCGAATTGCCTGCAACATGACCCGCATAAATCATAATTATATTAATATATCTGTATCCGTTAGGAAATTTTATTCCCTTTCTCCCCTCCCCCTGCCACATCAGTATTTCATATTTGTTTGAATACTGGGTTGCCCTAATTCATTATAGAATAGAGCGACACGTATATTATCACTCGTTTCTAATATTGTCCATTTTAAAAGAAAAAAAGAACAATGAGAAAGAATATAATTCTACAACTACTCCAAAAGAAAGTAGAAAAAGATTGTGCATTATCACTATAGATGCAATACCACAGCTGCGTACAGAAATTTGCTGGAACGTTCAATGTTTCCATGCAAAAATAAGTAAATTTCCTCTTTCAATAAAAAAAAAAAAAAAAAAAAAAAAGATCAGAGCAAAGTATAAATTACGCAAAAATAATTTCGGATATGCGTTAATCTACACAATATGAAACAGAATATTCTCATCAATTTCGAGCGACGTAATATGTTATTTGTTCTTTTTTTTTTGGAATAAAAGATTCTGTTCTTCCTCGCAACGAAGATATAGATTTATATATCGGTAAATATTTCCGTCTTTAAGAATCTTAGAATTTGAGATCCTCGAGTCTCAACGCGATTCAGTTTATCCCGTCGTGAATTGCAATTCACTTGTGTCTAATTGTGTACGTTGCACTAATCAAGTTTATTTATTTCATATATCAAAGCCTGCAATCCTATGGCAACTTTAGTTGAATAGAAAAGTGCAAACGAAGGCAGTGACGATTATGAGTTCAGGCCCTGGCGTTTCTCTTCTTCGAGCATTGCGTCGAGCTCATCTGTAAGATTGGCAAGCATATTTCCAATGTCGTTCAAAACATCCGCAGGTTCACCACCATTGGAATGATGATTGATTAAGTGACCGCCGATACCACTGTTAGGGCCACCCGCCATGTATTCTTGTGCTCGACTGGCCCTTTGTTTTATCGTGCCGGCATTCTCGTTGGCAAACGGTAATGAATCTGATTCTGTACTCGAACTTGACTGTAAATATAAAAATAAAACACATATATCATAGAATCCAATGCAATTAATAACGTATGTTACATCATTATTGCACCATAAAAAAACGGATACATTAAAAACTCTTGAAACGCACTTTAAAACTAGCGTCTGATCCGTTGCGATGCTGCAGGGCGAGAGATGCAATTAGCTCGTGCTCTTCGTTAATATTAACGCTGACGCTACCCCACGAACGTGACATGGAAGAAGACGGTCGATTTAGTTGCGGAGGCGTAGAAGGTGCCGGCGTAGGTGCCGGCGGCGGTGGCGGTGGATGATGAAGCAAATGGTGATGTTGATGATGATGTTGATGAATGTGATGATCGTCGCATGATGCGGTTGGCACTGGCCCGCTACAGTCTATCACGACGTCACCAACCGCCGAGCCACCGACACCGATTACGGAAGAACTAGTCGTGTCTCTAGAACTTTGTCGTCTTGGGGGTGATGGAGGACATCGTTTTGGAAGATGCGGACTACTCTCGAGCCCGTACGTTAATTGATACTTGTTATCCAAGTCTCTCGGCAAGGACTTATATTGTCCCGGTGTCGCAGTGACCTGAAATCACAAAACAATTGAATCATCAGCACAAAAATTTCTCTCGCTCGTTTTCGTTTCAATCATACATCCATACACATTCGAAACAATCAAATATACCTTGGCTACGGGCCGCGGGCGAACGAGGCAATGTCTTGGTCGTGGAAGAGTGCCACCACCAGCATCTACAACGGAAGCATCATTCGTGGGTGTAAGATCGCCGTCCTCGAAACTGCGGGGACGCCAATCGAGAGGTTGTGGATGCGGTGTTGGCGCTGGTGACGGAGGATAGCCAAGAGGCGCATCTTCTAGACTCTCCAAAGATTTTCCCCGGGAGCTAGTACGGCCAACTGTATTATAGTCGGTTGGAAACGCGGCGTACATACTTTTCCAAGCAACACCAGAAGTGGTATCGTTTCCACCCCTTTGAAAAGATCTAAGTACAGGCGAGGAACAATCCTCATCAGGCGATGGTAAATCAGGTCCACCTCGTTGAATAACAACGTCCTAAAAAAGTCCAAAATTATGCGATATTATCTTTTATTCCGTAACATTTTTTGCGATATATTGATCAAGGTAATTAAGAGATTACACTCTCTTAATGAATTCGATATTGATGAAAATCATAGGGAACATAATTTACCTGTGTATGTCCAGGATGTGGCGGCAGACGCGCAAGGTCGAGTGGCTGTATACGCTTGCCAGCGCGAATATCCTTAACTCTCTTAATTGCTAACAATAATTTTTTCTGATGCCCTAACCGTACGATACCGATGTCTTCAAGGTCCTCCCAAGTGAGAGTTGTCACGTCCTCTACGGATCGCATACCCTGTTGATGAAGTGCGCCAAGATATTCCTCGAGCCTGAGAAGCCTGAGCCATTCTTCCAACGATCCGGGTACATGCTCCGGCAATCCATCTCCTATATTCAAATTGTCTATTTCCGCTTTTAGTCGTTTCCTATGATTAGGTTTCTTGATACCTGTAAAATAATGTGTAAAACTGTATGTACTTGTTTAAATATTTCATACAGTATTTATACGAGTAACATCTCTATGAATTAAATGAATGCATTTAAGAATGCGCTTAGATTAGACTTGCTAATGCAATATGTGCCTCACCTATAGCCGTGAGATCCTCCGGTGTCATGCGCGTTATAGTAGCAAGATCGTAACCTGCGGAAGCAAACAAGGGGAAGTATTCTTCAAATTGGAGCTCGTTTAACCAAGCGTGAACGACGTCGAGGTCTGCCGGTCGGTCAGGATGACTTCCGAGGGAACTAATAGAACATCTAGGAGATGAGGCGAGCGCGCCAGGTCCTCTAGGTCCCAAGTGATATCCAGACGCTCTTCCAGAATCTAATGACGCTGTAGAGTGCCTAGAACCGGAACCCGATCCGGAACTACCGGGACTGTCTCTGCCAGGACTCTGGGTCATATCGATACCTAAGAAATATCAAAACATCCATATTTTTCAACCACAGCGATAAAAATCTTTTAATAGCAACGTATAATTGTTATTTAAAAACGATGTTTTTTTACGCTCTTCGCATTAAAAAAGAATTAATCTAATATAATAATAATAATAATAATAATAATAATAATATGACGTCGTATAATTCGCACCTTGATCTTCGGCGTGGGCATACTTGCCGATCACCGGCGGAAAGGCGAAGCCCGAATGGGTAAAAATAGGTCCCGGACTTTTTCCAGATGGCATCCCGTAGGAACCATCGTCCGCCGTGCCCCCGGGGCCGCTTCCGGAGAGGAAGCAGCTATCCTCGCTGCTAGCATATCCAGCCGAGCCAAAAGAGGAACCGGAGTGTCGAAACACGTCTGGTACAGCTGGTGGTGCTACTTTCTTCGCTTGAGTCACGGCTTTGGACGGCCGGCTCATACCGCCAACTGTAACATGTAACAGAAAGTCAATTTTAAATCAACCAAATATCAAAACGTACATCCGTTTACTCTCTAGTTAAGGTATGATCAAACATAACGGTGTTCCGATTTTTTTTCCAAAATTCTGCAAAAGAAAAAAAGATATGTGCCATCTCACTCTTTATACTGATGCCGTAATGTAAGTATCAAAATTCAGCTAGTTTTATACACATTCGGTTCTGATAAACATAATTAAAAATTATAAAAACTGTAAAAAATATTCCTGAGATTTTCTGAATTATCAATGTGTTATTTTAAAAAACACTGGTAAAGTAAATTTGAAAGAAATAATTTCCGATTTAGAAGAGTACCATTCAGCTTTCATCCTCAATGATATACATTAGGATTAAATGTGCATCAGTTTTCATCGTTTCTACGAACATCGCACGCAGCTCACAATGTGCTTTCTATGTAGAAGCTGGCAACTAGAGCAAGACTCGAATTAAACGAGAAAAAAAATTTGTTTAACGCTTGATAAGATTAAAAGTACATTAATACTTCGATTCACCGATTCAATCAATAAAGTTGATTTTGAAGTTCCCTTATCACATTTGTCTCTTTAGTTATTATTTAAGTTTTGTCGCATACATCGGAAATTATTTACTTATGTTAACTTGATATTTAAAAATTTGTAGTGGAGATACAATTAACGGAATACAATTTTACGAAAAATACGTATTAGAATATTTATGCGGGATATCATAATAAGTAGTGTGCTTTATAAATTCATACGCAGGGTATACCGGGGCACGTTGTCACATCGGCTTTATTTAAAAAACTAATAACCAGAGAGCAGTACCCGTCATTCCCAAAACGTGTTAGTGTATGCCCATCTTTGGTGTGTTTACAGTGTTGAAATTGCTCCAGCCGTGTTGACGTAAAATCAACTTGAAAGTTTTTTGCGATCGTAAGTAAAATTTTATTGTCTAATGGCCAGTCTACAATGAGTCGTTAGTCGTTAGTCAGATGTCGGAAGAAATAGTTATAAGCGTATTGTAAGCAATCGAAGGCCTGTAATCAGTGATCGTAAGAGATGGCATTTGGCCAATCGCTTATGATTGCCGATTACAGACTTCCGATCGCCTTATGACACGTTTATGACTTTTTTCGACTCTCTTCCGACATCTGACTAACGACTAACGACTCATTGTAGACTGGCCATAATATTCAACGTACTGGACATGAAGCTTATGTTTTTTCAGAATAGACCTTTATATTATCTTAAAGTATGTACTTTTACCTACTGCGTGCAATACCTAACCTTATGAATATCTCAAACGTGTTGGCCATGAGGAAGTTTGAAGTAAAAAAATGCCCTCGGGCATATTTTTACTTCAAACTTCCTCGGGGCATTTTTAAAATCGATTTTTTTAATAAAATGGCAACGAATTGAAACTCATCAGTATGTCTCACAGATTTTCCATATTTGAGTTTCAATTCGTTGCCATTTTATTAAAAAAATCGATTTTAAAAATCGGCGATCGTCAACGACTCGTCTTTATTGTTAACTTAAATAACCCCTTTGGTTTTTTTATTTCAAATCGACCGTTTCAATTGGACAGTGTCCACCGCCGAAGAAAACATCATCTGCCGGCGGCCATAATTTTTTTGTTTTCGGAAATTTTTAAATAAAAGTTTTTTTTAAGCTTTTAAAACATATATCTTTGAGTACAAAAAAATTCGTTTTATTCCCACTAATAGTTTCTGGAAAAAGAAATATCTGAATTTCGACCTATTTTTCGGGCCTCTAGATGGATGTAGCCCCTTAAAAGAAATTAACACATTCTCGAGAAACTTTGATCTGCCACCCGACTAAAAGTCCGATACAGAAATCATTTAGATATAAACCAAGGTAAACAAGATACTTTCCCTAGCGTTCCACAATAGATTTTGCAAACAGATTTTGCAAAAAAAAACGAATTAAAAGATATCCCTGCGACATATACTATATATAATATAGTTAACAATAATATATCATAGTTTATTTAATAATTTCCAGTGTAAAGTTATCGTACAAATATTTTCTGTCAAAAATAATAACTTTATCCTTATATCGGTCTTTGTTCATGGAAACAACATTAATTGTAATGTTACAAATTGTACATTTTAAAGATTAATAAATCTATTAATTATCACCAAAGTCACTAGTAGGTTCATAATCCATAGCTCTTTATACAGAACGAGTAACAATTATCTAAAATTATCTCGAAATAAGCCTTAATACATATAGATATAATATAAATATTAGTTTAAAAATACAATAATTGCACATGATTTTTATACAGAATTTCTTTGTAATAATTTAAAAAATTTTAATTGGCTTTAGCAAATATTGTATTTTTTTAAATAAATTAAATAGCGATGTGTGGTTCTTTTTTCATTTCATCACCACATGCATGCATTGTATATCACATCATATTAAATAAAGTTCGAATTCTAGAAGTGAATCTCGAAACAAACTTCGAATTATGGATTTTTCATAAAATGCAGCTCAGTTTGCAGTGCTTTGTAAAAACTACATTTCGTCATCATATTATCGAAAGACCATTACACGCAGTAAGGTCACAGATTTTATTGGATGGCACCGCGGTACCGCGATCAAATCGGGCCGCAACTTGATCTACGTAAATCTATAAAACTGAAACATAACATGGATTAAGAATGCATGCTCACAAAAGTATCTCGTCAGATTTAATGAATGCTTTGTGCGGTGTAAAGAGATAGAACACGGTCAGTTATTAAAATAAGTAAAAATTGATCGTGTCAGAAAACACGTCTGCACACCACAGTTACGGACAACAATTGTGTTGTACACAATTGCGTTACACGGAAACGATGTTGTCCGTAACTGTGGTGTGCAGACGTGTTTCCTGACACAATCAATTTTTACTTATTTTAATAACTGACCGTGTTCTATCTCTTTACAACGCACAAATCATTCATTACATCTGACATGCAGACACATTGTTGTGACTATTGAATTGCTCTGTAAGAATATGTACACTTGAAAAAAACTCGAATTAGAGTCAAAACGTAGTGTTGACTTTTTAATTAAATTGCCAGTTATAGTCAAAGAATTCTTATTATTGTTATTTTTTATTACATTTCCCATTTGGTATAAATGATTTGTACGCAAATGAACGTTGGAAATTGTAGCTTGATGTTTCAGGCACCTATTATTACATGTTTAACCTTTCACCAATAACAAATTAATTTGTTTAGTTAAGTCTTTTGGTAACATGCTGCAAAAGGTACAATTTAATCAACCGGTCGCCTAAATTTTACCTGTGGGTCTTTTAAATCATACCTCCTTGAAAATATCAAATTTAAGAATAAAAATAATTAAAAATATAAGATTAATGAAAGAAATCACTAACTTATACCTATTTTACTAATAATTTATTTTAAAAAAATATTAAGTACTTAATAATTAATAAATCACAACAATGAAAAAATTAGGACGTCTCTGTCGTGTTAACATAATTTAAATTATGTCGCGTAACGTATAATAAAGATGCATGCGCATGAGTATACAGCACGATTTCCTAGATCGTATCGGCACAATACAGGAAATCTTATGATAGTGCGATTTAGGAAACTTGGTAAATTTTATAAAAATATAGATTTAATCTTTATAATAATTGCAAATATGCATATGCAAAGAATGTAAAATATTCTACAATAAACGTTCTTTTATAAAAATATAAAAATTTATAATAAAATTGTATGATTACATTATTATCAGCTGTATAAATTAATCAAAAATTTACATCAGTTGTACCGGAATTTTTTAAATGTTGTTAGCACGCATATAACAAGACATAATCTGTTATATTCTCAATTCTCATTTATTTCATATTTTTGTTACTAAATGTTTGCTCATATTAAGTAATAATGTAAAATATTGATGAGATACAATTTAAACGATCGGTACGCAATCGGCAACACTCCCTTAACATATTCTCAAAAAACCTTAGTCTGTCACCCGATTGATAGTCCGATACATGAATCATTTAGAATCTAACAGACAATTGTCTTCAACTTTGGCATGGATGACAGATTCCCATAGACGAATATCCTCCATAAATTTGAACTAATTCTTATATCATTTTGATTTGAGTAACCACCATTTTTAATAGACATTTAAAAGCTGAGTGTTGCACGCACGACGCCGTGCTGTAAATAAATATTATAGGGCTATAAAATAAAGATAACGCGATTGTTGCGAAGAATCTTGCTTACATCTAAAATTTTAGATGTAGTCAAGGTAAGCAAGACCTTTGCTACATCTAAAATTTTGAATGTAGCCAAGGTAAGCAAGATCTTTGCTACATCTAAAATTTTATAGGGCTATAAAAAAATATGAAATATGCGATAATTGCGAGGAATCTTTCTTACCTTGGCTACATCTAAAATTTTTTCCACATTTTTATTTGCTAAAACTCCTTTACTTTATGGGACAAAAAAACACCCACAAGTTTTCCCCTGCCCGGCCGTCCACCCGCAACCAATCTCCGTAAACATTTCTGGAGAGGGGTACTAGTATATAAAAGTACGCATACCGACATTTCGAAACCATAACCTTTACAAAGTTTCTACTGTAATCGTGCATTTAGTGACCGCTGCAAAAAGTACGAATTTCAAACAAAGCAAGTATATACGACAAGCAACCAGGCAAATTTTTTAATATTACATATTCGAGGCATTCAAAAGTCAATTAACATTCAAACATGCTGAACAAAGTGTCGAGCTTCCTTTATGTTCTCAGTATTGGTGCAGTGATTAACTTATCACATGGGCACACATACTACAATAGTAATTACAACAATGATATCAGTGGATCAAAGTTGTCAAATTTACTGAAATTATCTATTGGAATGCAGAACTTCTTAAGGCAAAATCAACATTATTTAAACCAAGAAATCCCGGACAAGACACCGCAGTTCGGAGATACTTTTGATTTTATA